GGACGGTCCCGATTGGGGGGCCGCGCTTTACGTTTATCGACCAGGAGCGGCTGCGCTGGACGATGTTGTGCCTGGGGGGGCGGCGGCTTCGCGGCCGGGTGGTGTGGGCCGTCGACGACGTCGCGGCGGTGCGGGTGGGGCTGGGGAACCCGTTCAATACGGCCCTGCGGCTCACATCGATCGCCCTCCGGGGCCGGGGCTCCGCCGCCTCCCACCTCGGCGCCCCGGCGGAAACCCCCGAAAGAGGAGGGGGGGGGCCGCTTTGTTATGCCCTCCGGGACCTCCACATCGCGCCGGGCGGGCGGACGTCGGTGCTGCTTTGCCTGCGGCCCGCGATCGAGGGGTTTCTCCAGCTGGAAGGCCTCGCGGTGACGGTGGCGGGGATGGGGCCGCTGGAATGTCCTTTTCCCGAGCCGAGGCCGGCGATTCCGGTCCTGCAGCGGCTGCCGCGGGTGTCGTGCGGGCTGAGTCGGAGCGAACTCGAGATTTTTCCCGGGCAGGCCGCCGACTTGACGCTGCGCGTGAGAAATTGCGGGGGGGTGGCGATCCCCTCGTGCGCGGTCACCGCGCACGGGGAGTCCTGCCTGTTGGAGGACTGCGAGGGCTGCCAGGAGGGGATCGCGCAGGGCGTCTCCGTCCGCCTAGACCGGTCCGCGTTGGACGCGCGGGCCGCCGCGGCGCTGCGGCCCGGGGAGGTTTGGAGTCTGCCGGTTCACCTGCAGGCCCCGGACGCGATCGCGGCGCCGGCGGCCCACTTCCTCGTCTTCCGCGTGGACTGCGCGCTGGACTACGCGCCCCCGGCGATGCCGCCGGGGGTGCCGCCCGCGGTCCCCGTCCTCGGCGTCATCCCTCGCCGCGTCTTCGAGACGCGGCTGCGGGTTTTTTATGCCGCGAATCTCGCCATCCGCGCGGTTCGCCGGCCCCGGGATCGGCGCTTCGTCGTCATCGCGGTCGTCAATCGAAACCCGCGCTACAGCGTGGGGCTGCGGCTCAGTACGCTGCCCTTTGGCGGGCTGCCGGACGTCTTGATCGTCCCCGGCGCCGAGCACGTCACGGCGCCGATCCACCTCAGCGACATCGCCGAGGCCGCCGAGGCGGCGACCCCCGACGGGGCGGCCGGGAAATTTGTCTATTTTATCCCCTGGGCAGTCTGCGAAGTCCCGAATTTGACCGGCCGGCTCGCGTTGGATCTCGGGTTTGTCGAGCACGAGGGCCAGCTGACGGAGCCGTTGGAGGAGTGTGCGGTGGAGCTGCGGTTTCCGCCGCCGGCCGCGCCGAACTCCCCCGGCCTGTCCCCACAACGCGGCGACGGCGAGATGGTGTATGTTTTTGGCAGGACGTCGTCCAACGTCGGGCGAACCAGCTCGGCCCTAGGAAGTCCCATTCCCGTCCGGGCAGAAGCCCAGGCACCCACCAGGGATACCGCGGAATCCCTTTTCCGGAAGTTATCCTTGAATCCTGAAGGCGATGGCCCGATCGCCTTAGCGCAACTACGACCGGCGCTTTCTTTATCGCGATCGCGCCTCAACTCGATGGACTGCCCGGGATTCGAAGCGGAGGTCTGCGAATCGCAGAATCTACCGATGACGCTTCCCCAAATGACGCCGGTCCTGCTGCAGGTGCGGGTTTGTGCGCCTTGGCGGCGCGCGATTGCATTGCGCGTGAAGCTGTGCTTGGATTATCACGCGGATATCGGGATTCTGTCCGGCCCGGTGGACTCCACTACTCTCGTGGGCGAGCGAGGCCAACACGTCTATGACGGCAATTTTGAGCTTTTTATGTTTAAAATAGGCAATCACAGCCTATTCATCACTTTATCCGACGGTGCTGAGCGTGAGGTAACGTACTGCTTGAAGGTTAATGTGGTTCACACTGAAAACATTGGGATTTAACCCCAAAAAATAATGTCTACAGGGTATAAAATTAGTTTTTTGTCTACTTTATTTTTGTAGATTATTCCATGATTTAATTCAGTGTTCGCTCAGCCTATTTTCAGTTCTAGAACCCTTCCCTTCAGTTGGCATCTTCTTTGTCTTATGCGCACTTCTCTTTTCGGTTGATCGCTTTGTGTTCGCGGTATTTTTCTGCTTTCGGTTTAAATTATTGCGCATTCCCCCCCATTCCACTTCCTTTTGTTTTCCTTTTTTTTTTATTGGTTTATGGGAGATTTTCTTTCCGCCTAGCATTGTTTGATCTTTTTTTTTTTTTTCCCTCCCCCTAGAAAACATTCACGCCTTCTTGACATGCCACGCCCGCGTTGTCCGACCCCCTTCGCGCCCGGCCAGGACCACCCGATGCGGCACCGGCGCCGACGTCACGACCCGGCCCCGGCGCCGCCCCGGGCCCTTTCCGGCGGCGATTCCCGCGCGGAC